CAAAACGTAGGTATTGAATGGGCAGCTGGAGAAAAGCTGTGCGATTTAGAGTATGCCGATGACATTGTCTGTTCGAATGTATGGAGGACGCGCAAAGTGCACTTGATAGATTAACAAGTGCAGTGGCCACATCTGGTCTGTGTTTTGCACCTTCAAAGTGCAAAGTGATACTGCAGGACTGGGTCTCATCTACTCCCGCTCTGACACTAAATGGTCAGGATTTAGTTATGGTGGATTACTTTTCCTACTTAGGTAGTTGCGTTACCAATGACGGTAATACAGCAAAGGAGATAACCGCTCGCATTTCCTAGGCTCGAGCAGCATACGCAGGACTGAAACATTTTTGGCGTAGACGCGACGTTTTACTGAAGCTGAAAGATCGTGTACATTGTGCTAGCGTTCGTTCAGTCCTGACGCGACGTTTCATTGAAGTTGAAAGGTCGTGTATATTGTGCTAGCGTTCGTTCAGTCCTGCTTTATGGCTTGAGACCCTGAATTTGCGGGTAGAAGATACCCGTCGACTAGAAGTTTTCGATTATCGGTGTTTACGCAGTTTAGCCCATGTTGCGTGGAGCGAACGGGTTAGTAACGTGGAGGTAAGCCGTCATGTTTGGGAGTCTGTCAGGTATAAACCTGTTAGCACACCGAATCCAGGTTACTAGGCTTCGCTGGCTAGGTCACGTATTGCGTATGCCCAGCCATCATCTGCCGCACCGCGCTTTATTCGCTGTGATTAATCCGGGCTGGAGGAAACCACGTGGAGGTCAACAGATGACGTAGAGACGAGGCGTGAAAAAATGCACAGAACCATTAGGTAGAGTAGGTGTCTCTCGCCTTCCATGTTGGGATCTGAAAGACTCCAAAACTGGTTGGCTGGAGACATTGAAGGATATGGCAGCGAACCAGCAACAGTGGCGTTCTTGTTGTNTTGTCGTTTCTTATCAGGTCAGAATGCTTGAAACGGTATGTATGCACAGTTCGATTGCGTACTCTGTGTGTTGACCACAGTGGCTCATCTTCTCCCTCCCTCAAAATAGGTCCAATCCCTGTCCACCTTAAATTTTACCACTGACGTTGTGAGTTTGGCAGCGATCAGCGAAGTTCGCTTCACTGTATTTCACTATACGATGATGATGATGATCACTTCCTGGGTTAACAACAGTCATCTTTCATTTAATGCTTCTAAAACCATCATTCTTTCAGATTATCAAAACACCATTCATTCTTCGTTCATCTTTTGATTTCACCTAACTGCGTTCCACAGACTGTTTCTCTTCTTGGATGGACTGTAACTTCTTAATGCTGGTCTGCTTTTGTATCTCAGCGTGCTTCTCGTGCTGCGCGCAAGGTCAGTTTTTAATCCCGCTCCCCAGCCGATCTATCGTACAAAGCTCAAATCCGCCATGCTCTCGAATCCTGCAGTTTTATGTCCGGTGGGCTTCGTCTTCTCTTTCCCTACTTGACCATATTCAATGTAAGATCATCCGGCTGACCAATGATCCTTCCCTAACCTCCAATCCGCAGTTATTAACCCATCGTCATGCAGTTGCTTCACTGTCCCTTGCTAATTTGGTTTTTGTTCTTCGGAGCTTACCTCGACAGTGCCTCCTGTAACTTTTACCCCCCTCCCCCCATCCCATACACAGGTATCCATACACAGGTCATCCTTATTAGATTTCGGTCACCAGATGTCGTACTTCTCAGCTGCAACCCTTTGCCAAGCTGTAGAACACACACTTTCTGTCTTTCACCCAAATCAATCTTACTCCCTTGAAACGCAGAATCAATAAACGGGATCTTACGTGACTGTCCTCATAATCCCCTTTTTACAATATGCTCCTTAACTATGGGATTCCATCTTTTACTGTAACTCTCGTTATGTATAACAGAAAAGGGAGATAATCACATTTATGCTATCGTTATGGACCAAATATCCACATTCTGTTTTGCCCTCGAATTGGCATTATCATTCTCAGCTCATTCGTAGCTTAGATCAAAAGTGATAGAAATTATCTGTTGTTAATATAATATTATGCCATTTTGCGATTTATTTCAAAACTATATCGAAATCATTTAAAATTGTCACGTGATTGGTGATTAGTTAGGTGGAATGGTGTTCCAGTGATCGAGCGCACAAATCTGATGCCCGTTTTGCGTTTACACATGCACCGTACTCTCGTGATCCGCTCGTTGTTTTACAGTGTACCAAGATAAGCGAATGTATGTGTGCTCCGTTTCATTAACGACAATTCCGAATCATTCCAGGCTTATTCCGATTGGTTTTGACATAGATCTCAATCGGTTTAATAGTTAGACTTATTTCAAAAAACAATGGAAAACGAATGGTGTAGAGTAAGGTGTGCTCAAAGTTGGAGAAGAAGAAGTGGCACTTTTGATGATGAAGACTCAGTTACGGATCACAGTTTTGCGACTTAGTTCTACCGACCGACGCATTTGCACATCTGTTTTTCGGCCTCTCGAAATTTCATGTTTCAGACTGTTGTCTGTGGCAAAACACCGGTCTTTCTCATGACTGCAATCACATCTCATTCGTTGATTCCATCTTTTAACATTTCACCAAACCATGGCACTCACGGGAACCGTTCATGATAAGACATGAGCTCCATCGAGGTAGGATGGAATGGTAAAATTTTGTCGTCACATATGTTTACCAAGAGATCAGCCGAATTTTTGTTATAAAAGAACTGTGTTTAAAAAAGATAACTTCATTTTCGATTCCAATATTTGATTGGATGGATAATTGTGCGATGGAAACTCCCATTTGACTCAGTTAATCTTTCATAATCAGCTCGATATGCCAATCGTTCGTCCAGTTAGGTTGCCGTAAAATTTAGGATTTTGTCAGCGAAATTCCCCTGATATTGAGTTCATTCCTCGTATTCTCAGGTAAAAAATACTGTACAACGAGGTAAATATAAACCGGAATAGATTTTTGATTAATCTATCATTTTGAGTCACAAATCGCCTAGAGAAAGTGATTGGTTTTTTGGAGAAAACTTATCAACTTTCTGACCCAACATGGTTTGAGGTAAAATGATAGTACGCTACCCACTTGCTTCAGGCCCTAGATGAACGGATATTGACGATTGGTTGGGATGAAGCAGTGGATTTCTCCTTTTGGACTTCTCTGCTGCATTATCTCTTGTGAATCACAAAATATTGTTACAGGAACTACCATTAGGGTAATTGGAGACTCGCATGTGGCTAGATTGATTAACTTTTCCGACAAAGTACGGGGGCTGAGCAAAACGTTTCTAGATGCACAAAAAGGTTTATTTGTTACACAAAAGTAAGCCTTATATTTTCTCCAAGTATTCTCCGCCACCGTTTATGCACAGTTCCACGCGCTCAAACCATGTGGTGAAATTGCTCGACCGTGCCGAAGCGCGTAACCCTTCGACCAGTTCAATGAAGGCCTCCACTGCAGCTGTTGGTGACTCCACGCATCATGCGCTTGACAACTGGGAACAAAAAGTGTCATACGGAGCCAGGTCCGGACTGTAGGGCGGGTGACCAACTTTTGGAATGCGTTCTCTAGCCAGAAAGTTGTCGAAGATATGTGTGCAAGTGCGTTGTCATGGTGCCTCAAGGTCCCTCGTGCCAGAGTACTCGGACAACACCTGACAACGGCTTCCAGCGCTTTCGATAGATAGTGGGTGGCATACCAGCCTCCGGTGACTGTGCTTTACTGTGCGAGCGGTACAATAACCACATTACCGGTTTTGGCTATGAGCATAACCACCATCCGCTTCGCCACTGCGCTCGTGTTGGAATTTCTGAAGCGGAGCCCCACCAGCCGCCCACTGAGCCGATTGTTGCTTGGTCTCGGGGTTGAAACTGGACACCCAGGTCTCGTCACCATTGATGATCTTCAAAACTGCATTGGAACGTCCATCATTGAACTTGGCAAGGATGATGCGGCACCAACTTACCCGAACTGCTTTCTATTCCTCACTGAACAGAGGGAGTACCCAGCGTGCAAAAACCCTTGTGATGACGAGCTCCTCATGTAGGATAGTATGGATATTAATCCCGATGAGATCCCGATGGGTTTC